CCTAACCAGGAAACTGGGTCACATAGGTCCTGTTAGGCTCCCTGGCTGGGAACCTCGGGATGATCGTAACCGATGGTTAGAGACAGCGATATGGCTGGGTGTCGTAAACAGTGGCGTTCGTGCATCTCCTCAATTTCCTCCCAACCTTAGACCACTGAACTTCTCCATTTCCTGTTCGACTCCACTTTCAAATTTCATTTCTCCTATTCTTCATCCAAATGGGCAACCAAAACCGGCGCACGAAAGTGCATGGTTAATGGTTGTTCAAACTGAAACTGAATGGATAGCAGTAGATGACAAGAATAACGCCAATGTTTGTGTTGCACCATATACTGACATTACTTGTATTAGTTTGTCGTTTTTTGTGGTGGGGAGAAGGCACGGGATTTCGACAGGCAGACCGTACAGCGTTTGCGCCGCTGACTTCTATTCTGGGCCATATCTCTCAGCGTCTCTAAATAACAACACTCATCTCTTGTGCTCCAGCCTGGAGGGCGGGCTGCACCAACCGAAGCCAAAGCTGAGGATAGCTTTTTCATCGCTCTACGCCATGTCATGGTCTGACCACCGCGGCGCTTCTTCCAGCCTTGTCCGACACGTGCGAATACAGCACGGAAAGTTAGTCAATGGGCACGCATACGCAATACGTGACCAAGCCAGTGGAGGTGGTGTATAGTTATTAATTCTTTAGTTTTAGTTCTCCGGCCTAAGTTCAATCGGCTTTGTGCATCCAGTAAGGTAAACTTTAGCGATATGTTTACGCAAACCAAGTAAGAAGTGGCAATACAGCGACATGAATCAAAAATAAAATACCGATGCGGTAAGTGCCCCATCAAGTCCAGAAGAGAAAGAAGCTTAAATTTGGAGAGAGTATGGCAATGAAGCACATTTGAGATAGGTATGTAGATGGTGAATCGACCTCATCCCTCGAAAATGCATGCGTACTAGTCAGCCATTGCGGTCTTAGGGCTACCGTGCCAGTTTTCTTTGCTTGCAAAAGTAGTGTGTAGTTATGCGGGGTAACTGATCAGGCGATTGTGGAAAAGCATTTGTTCATCTTATGCATGTGCTGCCACAAACAAGCCCAGATTCTTCTATCACAAGCCACACGTGCTTCTCTGTGCGTAAGACGAATATCGTGATTGTAGCCGGAGACCTAAACCCACGCGTTGGTCATCCTTCATCCGATGAGACTAATCTTGGTCGTCACCATGGTTATCGTATAGCAGTCTCGTGATTGTTGTTTGTATATGAGCCAATGGATCTTGGTCTGCGAAACCTACTCATGTCTTGAGTACGTGGCGCTCCAGAAGCGATAGCCGTTTCACGTAAGTGGTTTCATTACTTTACGGGGGCTAAGGGCAAGGGTGTTTACATAGTGGTTATTGCACGGAGGAGAATCACCAAGCTTGGTGTCGGAAAAACCTATGATCTTCCTTGAAGAAGAAAATGGAAGTTAAAATGAATCGTTTGAACGAACTACAAAGTATGGATCAAGTTGTGCAGCTATTCCAAGAAATGGGCAAGTGATTATGGGGAGGACATCATCTATAGAGGTTCTCAACTTAACGGCCGATAGGTGTATTATACACTAGTAGATGACCGAATCTTATTTTCTTGACTAAATTCTCATTGAAAACAAAGTTTGGTGGGTGAAAGAAACTGTTTTTCGATAAATTCATCAACGGGCCATGACAATTATATTCGGTTATTTGGGTTCTGGTTTTGATCGCATCAAACTAAGTACAGTAGGTATGCTAATATTGTTTACCTGGTGCTCATACTGCTAACACGGCACACTATCGGTGTTGATCAAGCTTTCCGCACTATTTACCAAACGCCATCATCTTTACCGAAATACCTTCGGTTTGTCGTTCCATGCACAGCTGAGGCGCTACCTATCCAAACATTGGATCCTCCCCCGTGCACCCATCTCAGTTCTTTCGGACTTTGTTTTCAATGTGGCAATGGGAATTCTTCATTTTCTAAATTCTCACTGCTCCGACCGGGGACCGTCGCTCTGAAAAACCCATTATAGCATTTGCATTGCTCAATTCTACTTGTGGTCGTCAATAGACTTGTCCCTCTACTTCCACTTCGGGTTAATCGTAGATCGAACGAACAAGACTTTCGCACCACTAAGGGACACAACAGGTGTCATCTGGGACAGGTGACTAGCCCATAAGAAGTCTGAACGATAGTCTTTTTCGGCTTCACAGCACAGATGAATGTGAGTAAATTATTTGAGGAACTTTAACAGACCAGGTTTTGAGGAAAATAGATGGTAAAGATTCTCATGGATTTTAAAGCAAAGCAAGGAGTTTGCATACGTGGAAGTAAAAGAACAGCTAGGATACCAGAAAGTCACACCTTGGGTAAAATCCACGGCGCCCGTAAATACATCTAAAGATGTAGGTAGGGTTTGGAGTAGGGATAATGATCCCCTGTCTAGAATCTTCTATAGGTGCTAAAGATCATAGGTTTCGTGTGCGTGTGTGAACGCGAGAGAGCAAAGTAATCAGGGTAGCCCATAACGAAGAAGGAAAGCAAACCAGCTACACTTTGACCTAATATAAATGTCTTGTCCGGACCTTGCCTACTTTTGTAGTTCATAGTGTTTAGTAAACCGATTCCGTTTTCAGTTGTGGGTCGGATACGCCAATGTTGCATGCTCCTGCCTTGTATTAACGTGTTTCTTCTGCATTTAACTGGGAACTTGGGCATAGGCACTGCACGTTTGAGCATGGTGAATAGTGCGGTGGAAGAGAGAGAGAGAGCAGTGAATGGGGGCATCATCGGCAAAATAATGGATTGGGTTGATGGCTTCAGAAAGGAGATTACTGATAAACAGAAGAAAGGTTGGGCGAAAGTACTGAGCCTAAGAGAATGCAAGTATTGACAAAAAGGGGCTGAGATAGAACTCCGTCAACTCGGACGAAAATGGTTCGTTTGCTGAGGAAGTTTGATATCTATGCTGCGAGAACCCGGACGTGGGCAGTTTCTCCAGTAGACATTCGTACCAAACTCAGTCACAGGCCTTTGAGATATCAAGCGAGACCAGGTGTGTTTCTCCGTGGTTATCGAGTGCAGCCGACCAGGATTGTAAGATGAGAGCCAGGAAGTCACCGGTGGAACGACGCTGTTGGAAACTATATTGGCGGACGCGCAGTAGTCCTTCACGTTCGAGGAACATGCGTAGTTTATCGGAGCTAATGGTCTCGAGTACTTTCGAAAGAACAGATGTGAGGGATATGGATCGGTAAGTGCTGAGGTTGGGAAGGTTGCCGCGTTTGCGAATGCAAGGGGTGGAAAAAGTAGAAAGTTGGTGGAAAAGGCTGAAAATATAACGTAAAATGGGAGTCAATTCGGGAGCATACGTTTCGAGGACAATGGGTGGAATACCGTCAGGACCGAGTGGTTTGTCTGCGTTTAGAGAACGCAGTGTTTGACGGTTTTTCCTAGTGCTAATACGAGGAAGAAAAGGTTCACCAGTGAAATAGGAAGAGGCTGGATGAGTAAGATAACTGGATTAGGTGGAGTTGACGGCCAACTGGGAAGCAAAAACCTCAGCGTTCTCATGTGGTTGGCATACAGGATCATCAGAGGAATTAGAGATAGGGGGAAGTTGGAAGCTGTGCAGAGCTGTATGCTACCGAGCGCGTCCCCAGGTCGCGGTGAGGGGGACGGCCGTCAACTCACGCCTAACCGTGAATAAGGTGGGCTTCGGCCCTCCGAATAAGCGGTCACGGACGATCAGCGGCACCGCTCGAGGATATGGTGAGTTTGCCTCCACCGCCACATATCTCTCGGGCTCTTCTGACAATGATGCTAACTTCAGCGCCTCAGATGGCAAATCTGCCATTGTTCTCTCATGTCCCACCTCGACTACTGTCCAAGTCTCACCAACCGAAGCCCTTCGCTCTCGATGCTCATTTAAACTAGCCACATTTAATATGCGCATTCTGATACGTATAAGACAACTGGCCTGTTTAGTTCGTACGCTCGCGACCCTAGCTATCGATGT